AGGAAAAAGGGAAGCTCTTGAGAATACAATCCTTCTTTAGCTGACCCATGATAGGGCAGATTCTTCAGCCTTGGACTTGCACCAACAGCTCTTCAGGAGGCTTTCAGGCCTTACTTAAGTCTTGGACTCAGGTTGAATCACTGGTGTATGTGTGTCTCTCTCTCTCTCTCTCATATTGAGGCTTTCAGCTTCTTGGACTGAGCATCTACTATTTCCTAATCCTCCAGTCTGCAGACAGCCATTGTGAGACTATTCAGCCTCTGATCATGTAAGCCAACCTAATAAATCCCCTCTTATTATTACACATATTCTATTGGTTCTGTTTCTTTGAAGAGGCTTGACTAATACAAGGAGTGTGGCCGAGCTGAATACAATAAAGATGTGACAAAAGGTGGCTCAGGTGACATAAAGTCAACAATGACCCAGGTTAAGTCTCCTAAGAGACAAGGAGTACCACCTGTATCATATGACAGATGGAGAGATTCAAGTTTAGCTTTATAGCTAAGCTTCACTTAAGCTACAAATGCTTAAGGAGCACTAAGAAAACAAGGGTCACTACAGAACCAAAGGCTATCTCACGGATTTGAAGACATCTGTCTCCACTGCACAAACAAAGCAAGGCCCACCTTTACACTTTAAAAGCCAATTTAGGGGAGCCAGTGGGGAGGTGTTCATCAAAAGGATTAAGACTGAAGTACCCCAAATTTAACTTTTAGTCTATCTACCTTGATCCCAAAATGTAAAGGGGTTTATTAAAATGCTAAACCATTTTAGAGAATAAATTCTATTTTTCTCCACCTCTGAGTGTATTTGCAACCTTGCTATAAAATGTACATTATGATTTGGCTGCTACTTACCCAAATAGTTTTATCCTCCTCTCTACCTGCTGTGAGCTCTTGCATATGCAATCTCTCAACTCATACCTTGGCTCATGCTGTTTCTTTTGTCTTGAATCCTTTTACTTCTTTGAATTCACCTGGTTTAATTCCTACACACTCTTAGAACCACTTACTCTAAGAAGCTAATCTTTGAAGTTCAAGTTACTACCTCTCTTCTAGGGCCCCAAAGTACCCACACTTACATATATTCTGTAATGTAAACAGTCTGATTTATTGATTTAGTAGAACAATCTCAATGAGGGCGGGGATCTCATCTATTTCTGCATGACTATCTCCAAAATATCTTACATGCTGGACACACAAAAATCATTCAGACCTATTGGCTCAACTTACAGTATCTTCAAGAAGAAAAACAATTATCAGACAATGCATGACGTGGGCTCAATCTTGGAGCCTATAAGGTTTTGGATCCATAAATATTTTAAGAATGGATCTAGCTTAGAGGGGAGTGGGAATACAATTCACCCAATTTTGTGGGGATTCTTCCAAAGATAAGATCAGTGTTAAGTATATGAGAGAGTTGTCCGGATTCTCAAGAGAAAACTATGAAATCCAGTGAAAGCTCACCTTTGCAGTTAATGTCAGCAATTACTTCTTTCCTCTTCATGGTTTCTAACAGCCTTCTTACTTCTTCGGTGTTGCCATTTCTGGCATGGTGGAGAAGCTGTTGTTCTGTTTCTGTGTTCATTTCTAGTTAAAAAAAAATAACATTGCTATTATCTAAGAACATAATCAGTTTGGGGATTTACCTGCTAATACAGAAAAGGGAAAGAATCATCCTTATTTGCCACTAATAACAGACACAATGAATTGTGCTGCAGGGCCACAACCTGGCCTTTTGTATTATTATAAAGAAATACATACACATTTGGGCAAGTTTCTTAACTTCTCAAAGCCTTAGTTTCCTCATCTGCAAAATTCAACCAACCTCATGAACTATTATAACATTATACATACAAAAGTATTTTGTCAGATATGTAATATTATATAAATAGTTATTATTACTGCATCAATAACCAGATATACAATTAAAATATGACTAGTCACATAGAAACATTGTGATGTAGTATAAATTAATACTTAAAAACTGTGAAAAAATGAACAGTAAAAATATAAATAAGGACTCTGGAATGAACACACTTAAATTTAAATTTTTTTTCTATTTTCTTACCAAGCCCCAAACTAAACACAGACTCATAACCAAATTTAAAGCATATCAGAATGAGTAAATCTTATGAACAGCAATTTCCAGAATAAATCAAATTTCTAATAATCAAATAAATATAGATAAACACAAATGGTATTTATCGCCCACCAGATTAGCAAAAGTAAAAAAAGAAAAGATTAAAATAGCCAATACTGGCATGGACAGAAAATGTGCATGTCTATGAACTGCTAAGATGAATAGAAATTCATAAAATTTTTCATGTTATAGGGAGAGACAACAATTTAGTTATATCAATAAACTTCAAAATGCACATACCCTACTTACTCTGAATGGACAACTATTTCTAGGGATCTATCCTACAAAAACACACCAGATTATCTTATAAGAATATTTATAAAGACCGAATTACTTACTCTCGTGAAAAGTTAGAAACAATCCATGTCCAACAACAGAGAACTGGTCAGAAAAAAATCTCCTGCAGAGGCTAAAAGAGAAGGCCTCTAGGATAGAGGATGGATAACAAATATTGAAGGCATAATTTCAGAAAATAATAGCCCATGCAGAGTTAACAGCAGTCCCCCAATGTTTCTAGTGCTGGTAAGTCAAGCACTTCTCTCCATGAGGAGACTTTAATTATAGTCCCTAAAAGAAAATACATTTCAAGGAGAAAGACAGCAGGAGCTCCCAGCAAATGTCCACACCAAATGAACCTTAAGGTGAAGGGCCCACCTAATGGCCAGTCACTGTGGTGCACATCTGTAATCCCAGTAGCTGGGGAAGCTGTAGCAGAAGGATCCCAAGTTCAAAGTGAGCCTCAGCAACTTAGTGATTTCATAAGCAACTTAGCAAAACCCTATCTCAAGATTAAATAAATGGACCCCACCCTGCTTCCTAAGTTTCCAATCAGTTTTCTAGTTCCCCACTCATAGATAAGGGCCCATGACCAAGGTCAAGATAACTGAATAAAGTCTCAAAAACCTGAAGAAAGTGACTATAACCAAATAAAAACAGGAAGAAAAGCAACCTAGAGAAGACAAATTATTCAGAGAAAAAGCTAAAAGTTGAAAATCCTGTAATACCAAAAAATTCTTAAAATTATAGGAATTAAAAATAGGGAAAATAAAAGCTCAGCAAAAGAATTGAAAAATAAGCTTGAGAATACCTCCTACAAAATACAGCTGTTGAGAAAACAGAGAAGAAAATATAAGAGAATCAAGAGGATTAGTTGAGGTGGTGGAACAACCAAATGACAGAAGTTTGAGAAAAAGAAAATACAGAAATCAGCAGGACAAAATAATTCAGATAAATTTACAACATGTAGAACCTACTAAGAACCCAAAACTTCTGGACAATTTCTGGTCTACAGACAAAAGAAAGCCCATTAAAGCACAGCATCATGAAATTTTAGAACTATTATGATAAACAAGATTCTACAAGTTTCCATGAAAAAGAACAAAATTTACTTCTCATTTCCCAATTTTTTAGGAAACTAATGGAGGATATGGCCCAAAATTCACAAACCAAGAAAGCAGAAGACATGAGACACAGGAAATTAATAAAGTAAAATGAAATACTGAAATGTAGCTGGGTGCTGGCCTAGATCTTATCCATACTTGCTGTGTGGATCACATGCAAAATTACAGGTTTTCCACATTTTGCTGCCAAGAATTTTCATTCCACCCCTCAGAAGGGCTCTGTTCCACCTGTACCTGAGAACTAGGGGTTGGCCTCTATGCTCAGAAGCAGCCAACTTTCCTTACAAATTCCTGCCAACCAGAGGCCATGACCTGTCCCCTACTACAACCCTAATAAATAACCACACTGAGCAAGGCCTGTTCATTGACTTCCTTTGAAAAAGCTCCACAAAATCTCTGGGCAGACAAAGCAGGCTCTCGATCAAAACCTATTTTCAAAGTAAATTTTCCTGTGAAAGTTTTTTTTTTTTTTTGTACCAAGGATTGAACCCAATGGTGCTTTACCATGGAGTCACATCCCCATCCCTTTTTATTTTGAGACAGGGGCTCGCTAAATTGCTGAGTTCCCTGCTAAATTGCTGGCTTGGAACTCGCAATCCTCCACCTCTCCTGAGCCACTGGAATTACAGGCCTGCACCACCACACCTGGCTTCCTGAGAGACTTCTATCAGCAACCATATGCTAATCAGCTTTTATAAATAATCCCCTTTGCATTCATTAATGCATACACTTATTAAAATAACATTTGACTAATCAATTTGACTTTTTAACAATACTTACATTAATTGTAGCATTATATATATATATAAGGTTCATCAATAAAGGTTCATTCACATAACTGAATATAAAAACATTGTCATAAACTTTCTAAAACTATGAAATTGCAATATATTGTTAAATCAAACAAGATTCCATTTGTAGTAGAGATATGTGGCATCATATAATCTCTATATGTACTCAAACATTCAGAATAAGAATAGGACAACAGTGGCTACTCCTTGTGGTGAAATTATGAGTGATAATAAGGGCTTTTTCTTTCTCCCTTTGTAATGCCTCGGATGGCCCCCAAGGCTTGGCACACAGTAGGCAAGTACTCTACCACTGGGCCACATCCCCAGCCCTAAAAGCCTTTTTTTAAATATAATTTTCTAAATTTCCCACAACATAATGGCATTTTTTGTTTGTTTGCCCTCGTCAGTTGGTTGGTTTGTTTATTTATTTTAAAGGCATTTCTTTATAATAGGCAAGTGTAAGTTATTGAAAATTTTAAAAATCTACATGTCTAAATAAATGCACATTTTATCACAGATGATCTTATGTTTTTTAGTCAAGTACGTTAAACTAGAAGTGACTCTAGACTTGCTAGCATACTATATGAGATTTCATTTCATATTCTTATCATCCTTTAAAGGATTAAACAATATTTGAAGTAAATATCTTTAAAACAGACTAGAAGTATTCTACATTACCTTGGATCCTCACCATCCTAAGATGATAGAAAAAAATATTTTTAAATTCTTCCATTTCTGCAAATAGGAAAAAGATAAATCTATTATCTAAACAACCTTCTATGATATATTAACCATGACAATTGCTCATAGATGCTGGTATTAGGATTAAAGTTTATGCTTCTTGGCTATTTACTAATGGCAGGAGCTGCTATAGGCAGGAAGTACCATGATGGATAAGATAGTCAGTCCCTGCTTTCCAGGAACAGGGTAAACATGCAAATGATAATCATATGTGTCAAAATACTCCAATGTATAAGGGACAGTGGTTGCATGAAGAAAAGGAGTCATTAGCTCTTTGCCTACATTAATTGTGGAAGGTATTACAGAGAAAATGAAATTTAAACCGGTTCCTAAAGTCATTCCCCAACATCACAAGGGTATACAAGGTTTGTAACCTGTACAACCAGATAAAAAATACAGAAATCAATCAAGATATGGGATAGAAAAGGTACAATTTTGGTTGTAGTGAGTTTCAGATTCCTGTGGGAAATGGAAATGCTTATTAAGAAATTAGGTAATAACAGCTTAAGCACAAGAGAGCATCTAAACCTTAGAATTTAAACAGTTGGGACTGGGGGTGTAGATCAGTGGCAGAGCACATGCTAGGCATGGATAAGACCCTCATTAAAAAAAAAAAACCCACCAGGAGGAGTTATCACAAGGGTAAAAGGCCCTATATACTGGAAGAGGGGGACAGTGAAGAGGAGCTTAAAAAAAAAAAAAAAGACTAAAGGTAGAGGGAGAGAGAGAGTAGAGGGTATCAGCACAAAAGTATTAGAAGTAGAGAATATTAGCACACTTAAGGGGTGTGAATGGGAATGAAATGCCAAGAAAGGGTATGAAGGATGGCGCCTAACACTGCCTAGGGGTTTGGCAAATAGAAGGCCACTGATGAAATACTTTTCAGTGGAAATAAGAGGCAGGGGAAAAATAAATTTTGGTACATTGAAGAGTGAATGGAGAATAAAAAGGAACTAGTTCCCTTTAAAGTAACTTCCTTCTGAAAAGAAGGTGAGGATTTTACTTTTAGGATATTAGATACCTGGGCACGTTTCCAGGGTGTGAAGCTTGAACCAGAAAGGAGGAAAACTTTGGCATAAATGAAAGAGGAGGGCTCAGGTGTCTGACATGACATCCACATAAAGTTGCAGTTCCCCTGTCACCATTAGGGCCAGCACCACTTTCGCTATCCCTAATACCACACGAGGAGATGAATCAGTGAACACTGAGTTGAAGGCTACACATTATAGACATTGCTCTGACCTTTGATGATAAAACCATGTCTTACACTAGAAAAACCCGTAAATGTAATGGGGAAGGCAAATGTACAAATAAATTGCTTTCTACTTTTCTGGAGAGAAGTGTGACTTGCCCCCTCCATTCCCAATCATTCCATTTCTTTGGCTATTCCTGGACTGGACTATAAACTAGACCAGAACAAGTATCCTGTGACTATTATGTCCCCATTATATCCCTATCTAACATGGTGCCTAGAACACAGTAGGTAATCAAATATTATCTAGAGCAACCAAATTT